CACCGTCGGTGAATGGCGGTCCAGAAAGGTCGAAACTGGTCTTCTGCAGCATCTCGCAGTCCTGCGAGGCACACTGAATACGCCTGTCATGTATTCTACAAATAAAAATCACGAAGTAGTGGACTTTACAGTGATGAGTCTATCCTGTATGCTGCAAAAGACGCAGGAAATGTCACTGGTGTCTGTACACTCAGTGACTGGACGCCAACACCCCAGTCTTCTCCTGCAGGATCTGTTTGACATTGACATTATGCAGTAGGTCGGCATTGACCTGGTTTGGCAGCTATCGTAATAGTATCTGCCTGGTTGGATGTAGCAGGTTGGTGTTTGCTCGTCGTCCAGTCCGGAATTTTCTTGTAACTCACGGTGGAGTACGCGCAGGGCTTGTGATCATCCCTGTTCACTTCAATATTATCAAACACAACGTTCCCTTTGTCACTCATCTTATCCTCAGTACTGAATTTGCTGACAATATTGCACCACACTTGTCACAACCTACCGCCACTGCTGGCGGTGGCTACTGGTTCGTCAATGGCGGTGACCAGGCTGACTGACTAGCTTCGAGACAGCGGCCTCGTTGTCAACCCCGCGGCAGCCTAAAGGTTGATTTTATCGATCCAGCCTCAGCGCCATGTTGACGATGCCCTAGTGACTGTGTGTCATGGATTGCCTTGCCATCAGCGGTCATTGCCGTCCACCTTGATGCAGCCCTCAACAACTGGCTCAGCCCATGGGAGTCTCAAGTGGACAAAGTTGTTGCCAAAGTAGCTCAGAAGATTGGTGCATCGTGGTGTGGGTGAGCACATAACTAGGACTTCCCAGCGCCTATTTGTCCAGGCTGCGATACTATGTGACATGCTGTACTGCACATTCTTTTCAGCACTGCAAGGCCGGCAGCTGGACCGACTGCAGGCCGCCTGTTGCCAGTGCAGCATTCTGGAACGTTCCTTCCTTCTGAGATCTGTGGAATAATAACTTTCTTTGCTTCAAAGCAAGTTGCTTACCTTTCTGTTGTGCTCCCAGTGTCCTTACAACAATAACCTACAGCAATGTTTTATTTTCCTTTCCATTCCCCAACCAATGAATACTACGATGTCGATTCTATTTCTTCATACTTTGGTGTGTGCCCGCGCACGCACGTGTGTGTGTGTGTATACCTCACTCGCCACTCGAAGTTCTGTTCCCCATCACTGGAACACTGCCTGTTCTTTCAGGACCTGCCATCATCTGCGGATGGGCATTCAATGATTGTATTGTGTGTGTGTTTCATTCAGAATCAGATCCGCTCTCGTTGCTATTAGAGAGAATCTGTGGGTTCACATCCAGTGCATATTTAGATTTGCGTGCTTTTCTCGCCACGGGCGCATACAAGGGACATTGTGTGTGTGTGTGTGTGTGCGTGTGCGTCTGTGTGTATGGGGATATTGTCTGTATCGGCTTTTGGTACTAATGTTCAGGTCTGTGCTTGCATGTGGGAACATGAAATTGTTCGGTTCTGTGCATGCTATTGCTATGTTGTATATTATTGTATGTATGTGTGCATTTCCACGAACAGTGTAGACGAGCGTGGAGAGTGCATTCATCCCTCATCAACCACTTCCCCTTGGGCTCACGAGAGTTTTTTCTGCGTACCTCTCATTTTTGTTTGTTTCTTTCTGATACTGTATTGATGCCGGTACCTGTACCTCGATGTGTTCCTCTATCTGCAGTCGCCTTTAACCTTCAGTCAAGTTAACGTTTATTGTGCTCTATTTATCGTGCGAATCAAAATAAACAATAATAACACAAGTCGTGCTAGAGTGACGACATGTGCGTGTAGTCACTCTAGCACGACTTGTGTTAGTGGTTGATGCGATGGGACGTTATAATTAGGTGGAACAGAACACACATTGGGCAGATTGATTGGGCATCATTGATTGTGCTCAGTCTAAACAGTGAACATAATAATTATCTCCAGTGACAGACTGTAGCGGCTAGCCTCCAATAGGTAGCTGGCACTAGTCGCTACTGCTTGTTTGACAGGTACTGCCAGAACCCCTGTTGTGTCATGCTATAGATGCACATGCCCTGTTCTGGGGCATACTGAGGTACTTTGATTTTGTTGACTGCATGTAGACAGGCGGGATCCAATAGTAGTTCTCGTAGACCTTGGCTCTTTGTAGGTCAACCACCATCGCATGGATCGATCGGTGACTATGCACTTGGAGGTTGGAATAGCCCGCGCTGAACAGATCTTGCCATGGCTCAGGGAGTGAACTCGCTTACTCGACTATCCCGGTTTTAGTTAACCAGCATGAGTGGTGCAATTTGTTCATACCATGTTGCGAGCTCACAGTTGTTTGGGCAGGTTTTGAGCTGCAACACGAAACAAAGCGAAATAACGGCGTGACTGTAGAGCAAGGAAGCGGCGAGACGGCACTTCCAGGACGAGACAGGCAGTAGAGATGTGTTCACAGCACGAGCAACTTCTCAAACCCTGCCGGTACTCCACAGTTACAAGAAAATGTCAGACTGGACGCCGCGCCAATGCAAACCTGCTACATCCACCCAGGCAGATAGCTGCCAAACCAGGCCAATGTCGACCCACTGCATACCGGTATGTCAATGTCAAACAGATCCTGCAGGAGAAGACTGGGATGATATTGGCGTCCAGTGTACGGACACCAGTGACATTTCCTGCGTCTTTTGCAGCATACAGGATAGACTCATCACTGTAAAGTCCAATACTTCGTGATTTTTATTTGTAGAATACATGACAGGCGTATTCAGTGTGCCTCGCAGGACTGCGAGATGCTGCAGAAGACCAGTTTCGACCTTTCTGGACCGCCATTCACCGACGGTGGGCTACACGATGCTGGAGGAACTAGATTCCAGTGAAAACCCAAGATTCCTTTGCTCCTGGACGCTCCGACGTGTTGTGATATCTGCCAGGTGCGCAGTAACTAGTATTTTCATCGCTATAGCGAGGACGACGCCGATCGGCAAACTCTCGCTCACAGCCATCACCAGCCTCTCAAAACCATCACTTGGCATCCCCCAGTGGTATAGGAGAAAGCCAAAACAGCTCTCAACAAACAAAAGCTAAGGACGATGGAAAGAGAGCATGTCAAAAAGAAGACGAACAGTATGAAGTTCAAATGGGTTTGAACACTCGTTCCACCAACTATACCACTTTCAATAAAATTAATCGTGACGCCATTTTGTTTTAACACGCATACGGTCCACTATAATGGCTTATTAGTAATGATAGATCATCAGAACACAATTTCTTTAGCTGTATCTTTTTTAACCCTTTCCATGCCAGCATGTTTTCCTGTGTTGGCCACGCATTGTTCAGGCGCTGAGCTCAACTGTTCAAAGCTGCACGCGCAGCTCAGAACGAAATTTATTGCTATTTCACTATACCTTGATGGATATTCACGATCCATGGCTTGTTGGAAAGATCTGGACACCAGGAAGCCATTTCAGGGACTCACAGCGCGACAGGCATACCAGGGCCACTTCCATCTCCTCTCAAAGTCCCCCTACCATGCCTGAAAATAACAAAACGACTGCCTCTCATGTTTTCTTTCATCTTCTTGCTCATTGTGAACTGATTTTCACGATTCAAACTGCGTTGGAAAGCTGAGATTCAAGCGCGTTTGTTGCAGCTGACTGCGCAAGCGCTGTGTCTAGGGGAAATCCCTAGCCCACACGAAGTCGCGAACAAAAAATTTAAATCGATCGCCAAAAAATGAAATTTGCGCATTCTGGCCGTTCAATTTATCGCCGCTCGGTCATACCTTGTTGTATCGCGAAGACCTTTATATTCCTGGAAAGCTGAGCTCAAGACCTTTCTAGCGGTGTCTCAACCTTAGTAGTCCGAGATATTTTGACGGAGTTACGACAGTTTGTACACTCGTCTATAGCGCGCGATACACATGTACTGTACAGTGTACATTGTACAGTCTAGGCAGAACGCGTAAACGCGTCCATGGCCGATCGGCTCATACTAAAAAAACGCGTATTGGAAAGGGTTAAAATGTATGTAGTCAATACCGTTAAATGTTCACTCAGACTCCTTTGCACCAATGCATTTAGCTTAGGAAACAAGCTAGCTGAGTTCCCACACACACTGCACCAGCATAATCCCGACATTGCAGTAGTGATGGAAACAAAGTTTTCCTCTGAAACCGTCCCACTATCCGACCCCACATTCCCTGGCTACACCACCTTCCGGCTGGATCGAACAGCACGCGGTGGCGGAGTGGCGGTATGGATCAGATCTACACTCCCAGCCATGGTAATTGATGAGTTATTTTCTCCACATCACGAACTCATTTGGCTATCCATTCAATTGTCCCCTGGACAAAAGATAGTCTTGGGCGCTGCTTACAGGCCAGGTTCGACGGGGCCCAGTGACCTTACGCTCATTAACCATCTTGATGACATCCTTCCCTCTGCTCGTGCACTTGGTGCCAACCTCATACTCGCCTTTAATGTGCATAACCGCAATTGGCTCCATAGCTCGAAGACCACACCTGCGGGGGAAGCCCTCGAAGACACATGCACAGCCCACTTTCTCACGCAGCACGTTCAGAGTCCTACTCGCGGGGATAACACACTCGACCTGGTGATGTCCACATTCAACTCTCCAGTGACCACGCAGATAATGTCCCCTATTGGTCGATCTGACCACGCTGTAATTCTTTCGGACTTCACAGGTGTTTTATTATTATTATATTATATTTGAGGATTTCCCAAAGACGTAGTCTAAATTGAAGGGAGTTCCATTATAATGGGAGGCTGTAGGGTTGAGATAGCAGACAGTGGAGGGCTAATGATTCGTAATGAACAGCCTAGCAAGATAAATACAATTATGCTGAATGTTCCAGAATAGTCCTTTACTCAATGATACCTATAGCCTCGGGGTATGCCTTGAAATACGAAATGTACCGAAACAGAAACACAAAAATTAATAAGAATAAGCGCAACGCTCAAAGAAGGAGGACAGAGGCATGTCAGTGAGGGGTGGCATTGTGTTTCGTGTCAGAGAAGTGCGTGCAAATGTGACTGTGAAACAGGGACTGCGAGGCTGTGGCTCTCAGGTCTGCGGGCAAGGCATTCCAGACAGTAGCGGTGCGGAAGAGAAATGACCTCCCGGCGTGTTTCCCAACCCGTGGCAGAGTGAATGCGAGTTGGCGGCGGCGACTACGCGTGGGGCAGTATCCCGCTGCTTCAAAAAGTTCTGGTTGGGTGGTGACCAAATGGAAGAATTCCATAAGGCAGGCGATCTTCCTGCGCCAGGATAGACTTGGCCACCCCAGCTGTTTAAACAATGATGACTTGGGCTCGTCTGATGGGCAAGGGCATCTATCAAGCCGCATGACTTTGCGAGCTACTCTGGCTTGCAGCCGTTCAAGGGTGAGCCGCTGTGCAGCAGAGAGGGAGGACTCCCATACTGGGCGGCGTATTCTGCTGTGAAGCGGACATACGTAAGGTACAGCTTCCTGACGATGTCTCCTGTTAAACGGTCAGCCATATGGCACAGAAGAACGCAGCGCTGTCTAAACTTGCTTATTGTCTGTTCAATATGCTCCTGGAAGCTAAGTGTTTCACTCAACAACACTCCCAGGTGACGGTGACTGGTTGACGGCTGGATACCGCGGATGGTCTCTGCAGCTCCTTCCTCAGCGAATGAGATAACAACAGTTTTCGATGGGTTGAAGGTTCCGCCTACTCGGTCGGCCCAGGCAAATGTGTCCTGCAGGGCGGTCTCCATTGGGCTGGTACCTTTGGTTCGTGCTTGGCCGACGGCGGTGTCATCCGCGAACAGGTAAACATCAGCGTGCTGGTTGCGTTTCGAGGCACTGGGTAGACTGTTGATATGTACCAGGAAAAGCAATGGCCCGAGGTGGGAACCCTGGGGTACTCCAGACTTGACGGGACGTGGGGAGGACAGATGGTGTTGGACGCGGACGCTGAATGTACGCGTATCGAGGTAGTTCTTAAACCAACTCGTAGCCGGAGCATCGCAGATAGTCCCGAGTTGCTGGAGAAGCACGCCATGCGGCACTTTATCGAAGGCCTTTGCAAAATCGAGAAATGCAGCATCGTAAGGGATGCGTTTATCCAGAGTCGAGGCGATCTTAGTAGTGAGCTGTATCAGCTGGTCAACTGTGGAGCGATCACGGACAAAGCCGAACTGTTCCGGGACAATGATGTTGTTGACCTCGAGATAGTGACCGAATTTGGTGGCGATAATCTTGTCTAGTGCTTTCGCAATAGCTGGGAGTAGGGTTATAGGGCGGTAGTTGGAGGTATCACACGGGTTACCTTTATTTTTAAATATGGGGATTACTGTTCCCAGCTTCCAGGCACTAGGAAACTCACCTAAGGTGAGGCTAGCGTTAAACAGGTTGGTAACAGAGGACGTTATACATGGTGCGATCTCTCGGAAGATCCTGTTCGAGATGTTCCCGCCTGTTGCCTTATGCTGCGGGAGCCTTCGGAGCACCCGGTACACTGAGGATTCGGCCAAGACTGGCAGAGAGAATAATTCATTCGGACAGTCGTCGGCTGGTGCTGGTATTGGACCTGTACCGTGAGCAGGAGTGCACTGGCGCTCAAATACCTTCGCGAGCATTTCTGCTTTCTGCATTTCTGCTTTCTCTGGTTCGCTCTGTGCCGTGTGGCCCTCACACGTTAGGTGAGGAACTTTATCTTTCTTACAGGAGATGTTGGCAAGTGTCTTGGCTTTCTTCCACCAAAGGTGGGCATCTTGCTCATCGTGAATATTCTCACTGAGGCGCTTGAAGTACAGGGTCTTGGCATTTCTTAACTGGTTCTGATATGCATTCCTCTGGGCCTTGTAGGTTAACCAGTATGTTACTGTTTGGTGGCGCTTGGCGGCACGGAAAAGGCGCTGCTTCTGGCGATGAAGGTGATGCAGATGCGGGGTGAACCAAGGCTTGGTTTGCTGTCTTCGAGATGAAACTCGTCTGTACGCTAAGCAGCTGGCAATGGCTTGTGTGATGCATGACTCCCATGCCCACCACGCACTCTCGATGGTGGAAGCACCGAGCATACACTCCCGGAGTGGAAGAGATGAAAGTTTCTGTCGTAGAGATTGAAAGTCAGTGTTCGCGTAGTCTGGTACAAAGCGGGGCGGCGGGTGCTTTGGGGTGTGCTTTCCTGAGAGATATTTAAAGATTATGGGACAGTGGTCTGATAGCGGATCTAGGACTTCAAGGTCGGAGATACGATGCTCTGCGTCTGTGATAACCAGGTCGAGAAGTGATGACTGGCTACCCGTAGCTGAGTATCGCGTTGCGGTGTTTCGGACAATTTGCTGTAGTGCAAGGTCGTCTAACAATCCTGCTAGCTGTTTGCCCTCTGCCGTATCAACATCTGTTGCGTTCCACTGTCGGAGTTTGGCATTGAAATCACCGAGAATGACTGTCGTGCCTGAGGCTGACAGTGCGTTGGCAATGGTGGACTGGAAGGACACAAAAAAGTCATGTTTTTCTGCTGATGATGATCGGTGAGGGGGCCTGTAGAACATGTGGAATGTATTCTTTCGACTGTTCTGCGATTCTATAAATTCCACGCAAATGTGCTCCAGTTTGCATTCAAGGTCGGTCCGCCGTTGGAAATGGCACATAAGCGATTGTCGAATATAAACAGCAAGTCCTCCGCCTATCGCGGAGTGTCGGGCACCGTCTCTATCTTTACGCAGGAGGCTGTATCCGGGAATTGAGATAGCTGCATCCGGCAGTGATTGGTAGAACCACGTCTCACAGAGGAATAGGAGGTCAAGGAACGAAGTGTGTAGTAGCGACTCAATGACTGGGATCTTATGAGTGGCGCTTTGGCAGTTGAGTTGGCCTATCCTAAGGTGGAATGAACGTGTTATGGGCGTGTAGGGTGGATGGCTAGATGTCACATCAGCAAGAAGGGCAGGGAGGGGTTCTGCATCGTGAGTAGGACATATACTGGTAGGCCTGGTTAGATTTGACTTAGAGGGGAAAAAGCTGGGTGCTAGGGGATTAAGAGACGCCATTTGTAAGAGTGTCGGCAGAATCCGCACAGTAGTAGAATACAGATTGATATGCGCAAAAATGTTCCTGACCACTATTACTAGGATGCTTACTTGCTCAAGTGCCGTTGATGCCTTGCTCCTACTCGTACGTGTCGTCGATGACTTGCGGCTACTCGTTTGGCAACATCGGCCATCTCTTACGCGCTGGCCTGCTTTGCCCATTGCTGTTGTATGTCGACATTGAATGCTGGCTGCTGCTCGGGGATCAGCTGGGTGGGGGTCAGGACATGGGGTGCGAAGGTGTGCTTTCCCGATGCTAGGGTAAAACCTTCTTCATCTGGAGATGATTGGGCGGCTTTACCTCGGGATGGTGGTGGCAGCGATGGAGCAACAGGTGTTCTTCCTACCCATGAAGCGGCGGTGCAACGAACTGTCTGGCGGTATGAAAAGGCAGACTGGAACCGCCTCCGATCCTTTTTCCGCCAGGTTGATTGGTCAACCGTCATTACTGCCAACCCAGAAACTTCGTGTGAGCACGTTACTGCCACAATCATGAAAGCCGTTTCCCAGTTCGTTCCATCCAAGACACTGACAGTGAAGTCAACGGATCCGAAATGGTGGACACCTGAGTGTGCAGCCGCCATGAAGGAGAAGGACAAACGCTGGCGCACTTGGAGGAAGCACCCTCACGATTTTGCACTGAAACATGAGTTTACCCGTTCTGTAAACAATGCTATCGCATTCCTCGCTAGATCTAGAGTTTCCAAAGAGAACAGCCTCAGACATAGCTTGTCGAATGGGTCCCTGAAGGAGAAGGAATGGTGGACGAAGCTAAAGTGCGCTTGTGGCGAGGGTCGGAACACTGACATTCCCCTGCTCGTTGATAGTGAAGGTTGCGAGAGGGCCACAAGGTATGAGAAATCGGAGGCTTTCGCACGTTTCTTTTCCCACAAGTGCAGTGTGCAAGGCGGCGACCTTACCACGATGGACTTACCGGACACGGCATTCGCTGACGCACCTGCACTAACGACAGTCCACTTTCGCCCCGATGCAGTCCACCGGCTTTTAGCTCGCCTGGATGCCTCAAAGGCGACTGGACCCGACGGTATTTCCGCTCGTGTCTTGAAGGAATGCGCCAGAGAACTTGCCAAGCCACTGTGTCAGCTCTTTGCTCTTTGCTTCCAGCACGGAGTCCAGCCACAAATGTGGAAGACTGCCAGCGTGGTTCCAATCCACAAGCGATCTTCACGATCCGCCCTAAGGAATTATCGTCCAGTTTCACTGCTGAGCATAATCTCTAAGATTGTGGAGAGCGTTATCAATCGTCAGCTCATGAATCACCTTGAGCGTTACAAACTCATGACACCCCACCAGTTCGGGTTTAGTCGCCGCCTCGGGACCTCAGATGCGCTACAGGCTCTACACCACGCCTGGATCACAGCCGTCGGACGAGGCGGTGCAGCACGTATTCTAGCCGTGGATATTGCCGGAGCATTCGACCGTGTGTCCCATGCTGGCCTCCTCCACAAAGTCCGCCATCCTGGCATTGGCGGCCCCTGCATACCTGGCTCTCTTCCTACCTAGGTGGACGTCTATTCAATGCTTGGTGGGCGCCCAAACCTCATCGCTGTATACCATATCAGCAGGAGTTCCCCAAGGGAGCATACTCGGCCCTACACTCTTCCTGATTTACGTGAACGACGCCTCAGAGACCCTGTCACCCGGAGCCCACCTGGAGGCGTACGCCGACGATACTACCTTGTATAGCCTGATATCCCTCGACACATCCCCAGCCGAGGCAGGCAGGGGAGGCAGCATTGAGCCTCCAGACTTATGTTGATCGCTTGCATCAGTGGGGCCGCAGATGGCGCATCTCCTTCGAACCGTCGAAGTCCCAAGCCATGACCGCCACTCTCCGCAGAACCTCCATCAATTTGCCTCGCATTGTCTTCGGCGGCACTCCTGTCCTTGAGGAGAAGGCTCTCTCTTTACTTGGAGTGACCTTTGACTCGAAGCTGTCATTCAGCACTCATCGCGCAAAGCTGCAGGCAGCGACCAGGTTCCAGCTGCAATCCTCAAACACTGTTCTCCTGTCCTTGCACCGTCCCTCACCATACTAATCAATGCATCTCTGGCTTCTGGTGTTGTTCCTGCATCTCAGAAGATTGCGGATGTTCGTCCCCTCTTCAAGTCAGGCGACAAAGCTGTCGCTAAGAACTATAGACCAATATCGTTATTACCAATAATTTCCAAAGTCCTAGAACGGGTAGTCCACACGAGACTCTGTAAGTTCCTCTCCGGAAATTCCTTGTTCCCCGCAAACCAGTTCGCATATCGCCCACTTCACTCCACAGAAGATGCCCTGACATTGGCTGTAGACAGATATTTGGAGGCAGCGGATCAGCAGCACCATACAGGTCTTGTACTTGTCGATATGAGCAAGGCTTTCGATAAGGTCAAACACCAAATTTTGGTTACAGATCTATTTCAGCTTGGTATTACCTCAACGGCGCTCAGTTGGTTCATGAGCTACCTAACTGACCGCCGTCAGCGAGTCGTCCTGAGCAATGGCAAGTCGCCCGCCCTCTCTCCCTGTGAGTGTGGTATTCCTCAGGGAAGTGTTCTGGGTCCTCTTTTGTTCTCCATCTACACAATGGAAATAGAACAGATCACAGCTCCAGCCCACTCACAGCTGTTTGCTGATGATATCCTGCTAGACGCCATCAGTCAATCCGTCGAATTCTTGAATTTAACCCTCTCCCGTTCAGTCCCCAACCTGGCCAACGTTCTGGAAGAAAGAGGCTTAATACTAAATCCCTCCAAAACCCACGTTCTAGCCCTTCATGCGTCTCGACAAGCGATGTATCCGCTGCGTTGCCAACCAGCCATTCCCCTCAAACACAGATCCCATCTACACCCGTCTAGGCCTCATCCCCATCATCCAAAACGCCCACTGTAAACTCCGCCTCCTCATGCTTCGTATCCACACCGCCAGAATTAGTAATCTCCTGTCCAAGCGCCTACGTCGCCAGACTGAAGGCGTCACTCGGATCAACGATCCAAATGCGTATGTTGTCCCTGCCACGAGGCGAGTCTCTGGTGACTGTCGGCCGCTCGTTTCTGCTGTTAAATTATGGAACGCCCTCACGGCTGTTAGCGGCACTTGGATCGCGGCAACTTAGTTTTCTGCACGTGAACCATGAAAAATCAATGCATACTCATGCATAACCAGTCAGCTGGCCTGCTCGCCCACGCATTTGACAGGTAACAATTCCATCAAATTTGAGATATCGCTTCGTTCGAAGTCTCAAAACAGTTCTAAAGTCACCAAACCACGCTGGTAATCGATGGCTATTCAATGTTAACATCTTCAGGAAGACTTCAGCCGTTTCCCGAGAGTTTGGGCATCGTTGCCGTTATTTTTCACGGTGTTCTTCTTCCTCCTGCCTGGAGCTGCAATTGCATCCTGGAATTATTTGAAAGGTATTTCGTGCGGGATGTGGGAGGTTCCAACAGGCATAAACTGACATTGCTATAGGATAACTGGTAACTTTCACCCTTCAAGGAGGTAGAGCAATGAGAATTTTTTTGTGGCGGTCGTCCAATTTTTGTGGCGGTCGTGGCTGTATTTGTGCACTTCCAAGGCTTTAATTCTGCCTGATACTACTCTCTACTGTATGGGAATCGTTGTTTAGGCACATGTAGCTGTCTTATTTGGTAGATCTGCTGTTGTCAATCACTTGGGACACTTTGTCTAGCCTATTTGTCTTTCGTTCGTGCCATCTATTAGTTTTGTGGGGTGCCTAGGCCTGTATTTGTGAAGTTCTCGAGTAAAGACCCTAATTCTTGACTGGAGTCACGACTTGAATTGTATTTCAACGGCTGGGCGAGCCCTCGTTCACGCAGTTGTCCTTATTGTAATACCGTAGAATCCCGCGGATAAGCCCACCCGCGTATAAGCCCATGCCCGCACATAAGCCCAGGGAAAGTTCGAACATCACAAGGCTTCGTCGTACAAGCCCATGGGCCTAAATTGTACCATGAGTCCATAAATTATGGACTCATGGTCGTACCATGTACATGTACGTGTAGTTTTTTTTGTTTTTTTGTTCTTTTCAGCACAATCGTCGGTTGTTTTTGTTTGCACAGTGGCTTTCAGCACTTCTCACTTCCTAAGTTCCTAGGTACTTTTCAAAGCACAATGTTGGTGTCAGCGTATAAGCCCATGCCCGCGTATAAGCCCATGTTCTCGTATAAGCCCACCGAAATGTCCTTGTGAAACAGATAAGCCCATGGGCTTATCCGCGGGATTCTACGGTACCGTACTGGCAATATATGTTGCCGCGTAACGCGTAACGCAGGGGGGGGGGGGGTGCGGCGTAACGCGCGACCAGGCTAGTGCGACAAATTTTCGTTGAGTTCGTAACGCGCGTCCGGCGGGGTGCGGCGATCTTTTCATTGCAGTTTGCACTGCAAAAAAAAAAGGCTGAAAACTGTGAAAGCACGTGACCGCGTGGTGAAAA